GGCATCGCTTCTGTGGCGGCAGGCGGCGGAAGGACGGCAAAAGGCGGGGGCGGCTTCGCCAGCGGGAGCGGCCCCACTTGCTCCGACCCCATCCAGGAGGCCTGGAGATCTGCTGCCCCACCCCCCACGGCGAGCCCCCGCTCCGCAGGATGCCCCAGCAGCGCTGCCCCACGTAGGGCATGCCGAGGCCCCCGGAGGCCTCGCCGGGCGGCGGAGAGTCTGCACACAGGGCGTATGCCAGCGCGCCAAGACGGCACATCTCTGCACGCGTCCCCACGGGCTGCGAGAACGGCGCCCGTGCACGGCACCGCCTTCGCTGCCCCGATACGGAGACGCAGCCCGCAGCGTGTCGACACGGAGCTCAGCACGTCGATTGACTACGTAGGTCTGGCGCGATGCGTTCGCCAAAGCGTGGGCCGATACGGTGAACCAACACGCGACGTATCGACGCGGACGCTTTGAGAACGGTACGGGCTGTGTGTTGCGTGTCGAGACAGCTAAGGGCAGCTAAGGGCACCATGGTTGGGCTCCCCTCACAGACAGGCTCGCGTCGTGAACAAAAATCACGATGGGCGGTTTTCGGCAAATTGCGGACTCTACGGAACCTCCCAAGACCGTCTGGTTTTCGTGAGCACGTTCTCGTCTGCACGCAAGATTGACGTACGCGGCTCCAGAGGGTAGCGGGGGGGCCAAACCAACGCCCAAGTGCGTAAACCGCTGCCATGGCCTCGCACTCCGAGCTCGGGGGGCCCCGGTGGTCCCGCACCAACGGCCATGCCGGCGAAAAGTCACTCTTGCCCGTACAGTCGGGCCCCGACCACAAGAAACCTTCCACAAGAAACCCCACCCTGTACTCCCAGGACGTCCACCGATTTTTGGTATGGGAACGCCACGCCTTCCATGGCAAGACCATCGAAACCCAACACCAACAAACCCAGGGCACCCTGGAGGCAAGCGGGGTGTTTCTTGGCATGGGCTTCCACTGTAGTGGGTGTTCTCTGGATTCGGCGGTGGACAAACCTCCATTTAGTAAACCTCCCCTTAGCGAAAACGGCCTGGGGCCGAAACCGACGGACCTGGACCCGCAAAAATGACGGCCACGGCGCCCTCTCGAGAACCGAAAACGGACAATTCACTAATCGACGTGTCACTGTTGGGGGTTCTGTCCACCCCCGATGGATGCATTTTCCACTTGCAGGCTGGACAGGCAAGACCAGGCTATGGTCCGAGAGCTCCGGCGGGCGGGACGCGACTACGAAACGCGGAGGGCGCGCAGCCCCGCAGCCCGGCATGCACAAGCAACGTCTCGATCCAATGTCCAAACTAGTGAACGTTGTCTGATTCGGGGATGGACAGACCTCCCTTTAGTAAAACGTGGTTTAGTGAAAAAGACCTGAGGCCCAAGCCTGGCGGGCGCAGGCCTGGAAAATAACGGCCACGGCGCCCTCTCGAGAACCGAAAACGGACAATTCACTGTTGGGGGTTCTGTCCACCCCCGACTGATTCGTCGTTTCGACATAGGGCGGAACGGGGAGGGGGGGGGGGTCTGGCTCCAGACCTCTGCTTAGCGCGCCTGTTTGCAACAGTGCGTCCTATGGGGGGAACTCCACCTGCTCGCAACAGGCGCCCAAAACAGCCAAGCTCTACTCCAGGGGGGGGAGGGGGGGTGCGAGGGCCCACGCCGATCGGCAAAACAACGAATAAGAAACAACACCACGTGATGTTCGGCGTGTCGGGTGCCTTGTGCTTCGCGCGGTGTTCTGGTGAGCGACGCCGCGCGGATTGCCGCATCCATCTGGCACGTGAACGAAAGTTATACGTGCGGGGACAGAAATATACCAATACCGAACCTCCCCAGACCTCTTCCAGGGTGCGTTTGGACCAGAGTTCCAAGGCGAATCCAACCGTGGCGACGAAGGAGAGGTACCTGCATTCGATCTTCCTCCTCTGAAAACGCATCTCGTGCGCGAGCGTATCTCGTGCGCGACCATCCCACTGAAAGCCTTTTCTGGATACTCTCCGCCGCGCGTGTTCATATGGCAGGGCCCATTCCCCCCCGTCCTCCTTTCCGGTGTTGCTAGAAGTGCCCCTGGCCCAAGGTGCCCCCAGGATCTCCAGGGAGACCCCCCACAGCCTTCAGAGCACCCCTCACGAGGCCCAGAGGGCCCCATGGGCCTCAAAATGGAGCGAAAAGCTGGGCACACCTTGGGCCAGGGGTACCTTTGGCAAGCCCCGTCTTCCTTCGACCTTAGGAGGTCATCTCTCCTTCCAGCACGGCAAGGAGGCTCTCCTGCCGCTTGCCTGCCAACTCTCCTTGCGCGCTGCCGGCAGATCCGCTGCTGGGTTTCGAGTGCGGGGGAACGGGTCCGGAGGAAAGCGGAGCCTTGGGTAGGGGGGCCACATGCGAGCCCTACCCCTACCCCCCACGATGTCTGAGGGGGAGGGTGGGTTTCACTTCGTTCGGGAGCTCCCGAGCGAAGTGAACCCCACCCTCCCCCTCAGAAATGAGTTCGCTACGGGCGCATGTGGCCCCCGAAATTGCGGCGCTACCCGGAGATCGGGCACCAGGATCTCACTGCCGACTCCCACGATGCTGCCGCCCCACCTTGCCGGGTGAGAGTATGCAGACAGCGCGCCGCGGGCGCCAGCGACTCCAACACAGTTTCGGGAAGCCATGCTTCCCCACGCTGGCCCGGGGGCGCCCGCGTCGCCGAGGTCTGGACGGGGGCCGAAGATCTCTCTGCCACCTGGCCGAAAGACAGATTGCCGGACAGGGTCACCGTCGGGGCGTCGCGCCAGCCGGCCCATGAAGGGCATCTGCCTCCTGCTGACGGTGTCGCTGGTAGGCCTCCGGCCTGCCACTGCCAGGACGGGTGCGTTTGACGCGCTGCTGTAGTATGCCGGCTGGGTTCCTAAGATGATCCGCAGGTGTTGTGCTTGGAAACTGCCCGGCCTCCTCCGCTCCGTCTTGTTCAGGCATGCGGCAAACACGCTGAATAAGAATCTGGAAACCACACATGATTCGAAGATCTAGATTTTCTTCCTCCCAGACAGACCCGGAGCGGGAGGCGGGAGCATTGCAACATCGTGGGAATCACTACCAGAGCCCTCGACCCTATCTTTCTGCGCTATTTCTCGAGCCGCATCGCTCCGTGAAATTCCCGGGTCCTGAAACAGGGCCAAATCGCCCGTTGTGAAAACAACGCTACGCCCAGGTTTCAGAGGGAGGTGAAGGAGGAAGGAGGAGAAGCAAGAGGAGGAGGAGGAGGAGGAGGAGGACGGGCAGGGGGGAAGAGGTGGAGGAGGAGGAGTGTGGGTCTGCGTCGTGCCGAGCTCAGGTGTCGTGGCGATGGCTACCCGTCCCGGCGGCGCCGAAGAGCCTCGTGCATCGTCGCGCCCGACGGGCTGTACGGGACGCAGCCCACTCGCTCCTCTCGGCGGTCGGGCGCGCTCCGCGCGCGCACGCCCGACGCCGGCCTGTCTCGTCCGCGGCTTCTGACGCCCGAGATGCGTACGGAAAGTATTGGACCATGCTCAACAACACATGTTGTCCAAAACCGACAGCGGCCGCTGTTCGACTGTCGGCTTTTTGCCTTCGATGAGCAGCGTCCGCGGTGGCGCGGGCAGCGAGTCCGCTTCAACAGGAACGGGAACTGCTGTCGGTCTTTGTGCCCATTCTTTCCGTACCCGGTTCGATCGTCCCGAGCGGCGGGGCGGAGGGAGGAGGAGGAGGAGGAGGAGGAGGCGGAGAAGGGGGAGGAGGAGGAGGAGGAGGAGAAAGGCGGAGGAGGAGGAGGAGGAGGAAGAGGATGTGGAGGGTAAGGCTCGGGTGGAAATCGGTGGGCCGCACGCGAGAGGTTGCCCTAGGGGCAAGAGTGACCTCTTGTGCGCGGCCGGCCGATCGCCGCAGTGCCTCTCCGCCCACGCGCTCGGCTCCCCGCGGCTCGACCGCGGCCAGGGCGGAGGGGGGATGCGGAGGTCGGGGCTCGGGCGGAAACCGGTGGGCTGCACGCGGCAGGCGGTCCTGGGCAAGGCCCAGACATTCGGGCGTTGGCAGGTTTGGGTTTGGAGGGGCCTGGTGATCTGCAGAAAGGGGACGCCCGAACTCTTGGCGGCTGCGGTGTGCAGGGCTGGCGAGGCTGGATCCTCAGAGACAACCTGGACTAATAGGGCCTGGTGGCCGCAGTCTGCTCGGCCTCACACCCCGAACGTGCCTGGCGAAGAGCACGACAGGAGCCCTCCAGCTCGGAAACCATAGGCGCAGCCCCCCCCCAGCTGCCTTAGATGATCGCCCGCCCCCCCGTGCCTCCGTCGTTCCAGCCCTCGCTCCCTCCAGGCCTCGGAAGCACTTCACGGACACCTGCCATATCCATCTGTCCATGCCCCCCCCTCTAAGGATCCACGCTCGCGGCGGGTCGGACGAGGTGCGCTGCGACCGCAGTTTGGGGGGGGGGCGCGGGAGCGTCCACGAGGAACTGTCTTCTTCTACCGCCCCTCCCTCCAGCTGCCCCCGTCGTCGTCGCTGCCGCCGCCGTCGCCCCCGCCGCCCCCGCCGCCGCCGCCGCCGCCGCCCCGCGGCGGCGGCAGCCGCGGACGAATGTCGCTCCCGGACGCGCACGCGCACGGCCCCCGCCGGGGGCCGCCCGTGGTCTGGCGGCCGCGGCTCGCCGCGGCGACGCGGGTCCCCTCCGAGGCAGCCTGGAGAGGTCGCGAGAGAGAAGCACCCCGCCCCCCCCGAGGAGGAAGCACTGCCGGCGACCCGCATCACAAGGCTGCTCGGCAAGGGTGCACCCGAGGCAACCTGGAGAGGTCGCGAGAGAGAAGCCCCCCCCCCCCCCGAGGAGGAAACACTGCAAGCGACCCGTAGCACAAGGATGCGCGGCAAGGGTGCAAAGGGCCCGCGAGGCAACCTGGAGAGGTCGCGAGAGAGAAGCCCCCCCCCCGAGGAGGAAACACTGCAGGCGACCCGCATCACAAGGATGCGCGGCAAGGGTGCAAAGGCCTTTGGGAGGCCCGCGCGACCGCTGCCCGAACGGGGCTGGCCGGCGAAGGTCGCCGAGGATGGGTCGAGAAGGACAGGGATGCAATGGTACCCTTGGGGGCAGGTCGCCCATGCCTTCCGTGCGGGTTGACGCTTATGATCTTCTCGGCGACCTTATTGCTGGTCCGGGGTGCCACCAACGGTGGAGAAGTATTGCCTCTCCGCGGCACCCGCCGCACAGCAGCGACGACGGCTGCGACGACAATTCCGATTACGACTGCGACTACGAGTACGGCTACAAGCTAGTCTACGATCCCGACTACAATCACGACAAACATCACGATTGCAATCACGATTACAGACTCGACTACTTCCACGACTGCAATCACAACCAACGCTTCGCATTACAATCCTCGTGAAAAGATGCTTACAAGTCCTCTGGCGTGTAGGGTAACCCATGTCGAGTATTCCCTGGGAGACAGAATCCCCCAACATTACCCAGGCCGCCCAAAAATAGAGGGAACATAATCTTCGCCGCGACGACGACGGCGACGACGACACCGACCACAAGGAGAAGCGAGAGGAGGACGAGGAGGAGGAGGTCCAGCAGGAGGAGGAGGAGGAGGATGAGGAGGAGGAGGGCGGAGGAGGAGCAGGAGGAGGAGGAAGCAGAGGAGGAGGGACGAATTCATTCCCCGCTGAAAGAACCACTAGGGGGAAACAAACCGAAAGACCTCCTGAGGTTACGCCCCATTACACCCCGAAACGAGGACCTTACCGCCGCCGTCGGGAGGACGAGGAGGGGGAAAGAGACGAAGGAAGAGGAGGAGGAGGAGGAGGAGGAGGAGGAGGAGGAGGAGGAGGAGGAGGGAGGAGGAGGAGGAGGAGGAGGAGGAGGAGGAGGAGGAGGGAGGAGAAGAGGAGGCGAGGAAAACGACAGGAGAGGGAGGAGGAGCAGGAAGATGCCTCTGCTGCGGTGGAACCTAACACGGCGACAAGCTCTCGGAACGTGGCGCTTCGCAGACACACACACACACACACACACACGCACACGCGCACACACACGCACACACACACGCACACACACACACACACACGCACACACGCATAAGTGTAGCTTTCCAGCCGGCTGATCCACCGCAGCGAGTGCTAAAGTCGGGCACGTCGAAATGGATTACCACCGAACGTCTGCTGGGGGGTGCTCCGGACGCAAAAAGGCAGCTGACGCGTGCCAACAGAAATAGCTGGAGCAAATACGCGTGAAAGGGGCCGAAGCCATGCGGAGCTGCGTGGAAACCTCACGAGAAGTGCAGGAGTAGGTCAGAGGAGCCATGACATGCGACTCCCTTGAGAGCGGGAGCCATGAAATGCGACTCCCTCAGAAGGGGGGTCTAAAAGACAGTACTGCTGCGGCGAGAGTGTGCCCGGCTGCCAGGGCAGTGGGAGCGCGCATGCAGACACAACCTCTCTCACGCACAAACGCACACACACACATCCACACGCACACACACACACACACGCGTCGCGGCCCCGCGCGCAGTGACAGGGCGTCCAAACACACACACACACATACACACACACACACGCACACACACACACACACAACACACACAGAACACACAACACACACAGAACACACACACACAACACACAACACACACACACACACACGCTTGCATGCAGAATTGCCACCGGTTGTCCCAGTCGAGTGGCGTTGAGTAGATGCGGTCGGGAAGGCTGAGGAGGAGAAGGGGGGAAGAGGGAGAGGGGGAAGGAAGGAGAAGGAGAACGAAGAGGACGAGGAAGGAGGAGAGAGGGAGAGAGAGATCAGGAGGAGCGACGAGAAGAGGGTGGAGGAGCCCAGCCACATGTGGTCCACCCTCGGCAGGCTGCCCCCCTCACCCGCCCGCAGATCCTCGGCCGGCGCCGCGGACAGCAGCCACAGCAGGTAGTCGAGGAAGGGGAGGGTGCCCTGGGGAAGGGGGGGGGAGGGAGACTGCCAAGGCGCGGCGGCGTCTCCTCCTCCTCCTACTCCTCCCCCTCCTTCTCCTCCTCTAGCATCCCTTCTCTCTCCTCTTCTCTACTCCCTCTCCTCCTCCTCCTGCGTATTATCCTCGAGCCTTACTTCTCACTCCTCTCTTCGCCTCTCTACTCTCTCGTCCGTATCCTTCTCCTGCCGCGTGGCCGAGGCGCCTTTCTCCTCCTCCTCCTCCACTTACTCCTCCTCCTCCTGAATAGTCTTCTCCTTCTCCTCGTCCCACTCTCCTCCTCCTCCTCCTCGAGCTCCTCCTCGAGCTCCCCTCCTCGTGCTCCCCCTCCTCCTCCTCCTCCTCCTCCTCCTCCTCCTCCTCCTCCTCCCCTTCTCCTCCCGTTTCTCTCCTCCTTTCACCCCCTCCTCTCTCCCTGCCTCTCCTCTGCCCCCTTCTGGACGCGGGGCGCGCGCAGCTTGGCCCGGGGCCTCGGAGGTGCCGAAGGGGATGTGCGCCCCGAGCCCCGAGATGAGCGACGGCGCGACATCGCCAGACGCGATCACGACGATGCGCATGAGGAGCCTCGCGGGCGCTGCGGCGCGTTTCTTTGTGTGTTTTCCCACCCGACGGGTTGGAGTTGTTAGCTTCAAGTTGCCATTGTAATCATCCACTTCTGGAGCTCCACGGCGGCTGTCTTGGGTCGGCGCTGGGCCCTTCTGGCGGCACCTCTGGCGCGGCCCCTGGCACGCTCCGCGTGCCAGGGAGCGGAGCCCAGTGCCGACCCGAGAAATTTGCGCGGAGCTCCAACAGCTTACGCTTACGCACTATTTTCCCACCCAGCAGGTTGGGTCTGGTAAGTTTGGAAGAAACGAAACAACCTCCCGACCCGCCTCGCGCACCCTGCATGACGCGGCCGTTATACAATGTTCCCTGGATATCCCGCCCCAGCGTGTTCGACGAACGTCGTCCGCATTCCGCGGCCGCTGGGCCCCAAGGGGCCCGGTGCTCTCCGGGGATCCCGCCTCGCGTTCTCGGGCGAAGGGTGAGGCTCGCTCTGGACAGAATTCGCCGAGCCGCTGGGGTCTGCGGCGCGTGGGACTGTTGCCCCTCCCGAGGCCTCTCCCCTGGGGGGGGCCCCGAACGAGCTTTTGATTTGGATCCGCGCCGTCGGAGCCTTCGAACGAGCTTTTCATTTGGATTCGCGCCTTTGGAGACTTTGTGTGTGTTGGCGGAAGCCCTCGAAGGAGCTGTTCGTTTGGCTTCGCGATCACGCCTCGCTGCAGGCCCCGTCCCTCCTACCCCCTCCCCCGCCACTGGCCGCGTCACGAGTCGGGCCAGAGCTCCGCCTGGGAACGAGCCGACCCGCAGTACTCCCAGACGGCGCCGGCACGAATCGCGACGCGAGCAGCCCCTGGCGCCCTCCCCCTCCCCACCCCCCCTGGGTCACGCCCGTCATCGCCGGGAGATGAGAAGCCTCAAGCCTCGATGGCCAGGCGTGGCCCACCAACAGATGCAGCTCATGAGAACTGGGCCGCGAACTATCCCGGCGCAGAGGATGCACTGCGGCCGTAACCACTGGAAAGGCCAATCACGTCTGCGACGGGTCGGACGACGAGGTTCTCAGTCGCAGCTTGTTCACCTTGACAGGGAAGGCTTTTCGCTGCCCCTCAAATCTAGGGAATCTATGCACACGGCTGTCGGAGGATGGCTCATGTCTGGAGGGCACAACACTCTGGCACGAAGCGCTACTCCGTCATCCTCGTCTATCCTGCACCTGCATCTTCTCACCTTTACATTCCTTCCCTCCCTCCTCCACCACATCCCGCCGTTCCTCTTTCTCAACTACCACCTCCTCCTCCCCCTCCTCCTGCAACTGATACTTCCACTCCACAGCATTCTCCTCCGCCAGCTCAAACATGCCGACATTCCACTTGCATTCCGCTGACCCACCTGCGCCGCTTGACTTCCGCCAGCCTCCGCCTAATCCTGCCGAAGGCGAGGATCGCCGAAGGACTGACCACTTCTGGATCGCTCCGTTTCTGTCCTCATTGGAGGCAAGCGTCGATGCCACTTGCCCCTGCCACAGAAGAACTCAGACACAGTTGCCTTGGACGTCCCGAGCTTGCACAAGCAGCCCGACTCTCGAGAGGAGCAGGGCATCGTCCCACTTCTCCTTCCGGAGGAGGAGGAGGAGAAGGAGGAGGAGGAGAAGAAGGAGGAGGAGGAGAAGGAGGAGGAGGAGGAGGAGAAGAAGGAGGAGGAGGAATTCAGCCTCTGGCACTTCCTCCCTCAAAGCCTGCCCTCGCGCGCTGCCCTCGCCCCCTCCTCCTCCTCCGCTGCCGCCTGAGGAGGTGGATGTGCAGCGAGGGCCAGTTCCTCTGGCTCTGCGAACCCAAGATGCGCTCGATGAGACGCCGCGCCGCCTGCAGCAGGACGCCTACGGGGGGGGGGGGGCGCCGCGGCGGCTCGGAGCACCCGGCGGGCGGGCGAAGAGCACCTCTCCGTGTGCGCGGCCTCGCGGGCCGGGCACCCTGCGCAACGGCCCCGCGGCTGCGGGGCGCCTGGTGCGCAGAGGCCCCGGCGCGGAGCGCAGCCGTGCGTATCCGCGCATCCGCGGGCCTGCGCCCCGGGACCCAGGCCGCGAGGGCGCGCCCCGAGGAGCGGAAGCTGCACCATGGGGCAGCGGTGAGGGCACGGCCATGTGCACCTCAGTGGAGCGTGGCCGTCTGGACCACAAATACACATGTGGGCAGCAAGTGGGCAAGAACGCGACTCCTGAGTAACTTGTGAAGAAGTCTCAAGCGAAGCGGCTGCCAGACCGTGCGGTCTAGGGGGGGTAGTTTCGGGCTCCGTCCCCCTGTGGGACTCGCCTGTGGTCCTTGTTGACCACTTTTACCCTCTAGCGAAACGCAGGTAGGGAATGTCCGATCCTCAAACATCGATCCTAGATGGCAGGAGGGGGAGGCTCATGGCTCAGGAAGCCCACCCAAGGGCCAAGAAGGTGACTCAGGCAAGGGCCGAGAAGGTGACTCAGGCTAGGGCAAGACGGCCAAATCAAACAAAATGAACACGGAGTGGCACTTGCTCAAGCTGGGCGCGAGCAAAGCGGCGAGGGGGAGGAGGAGGAGGAGGAGGAGGAGGAGGAGGAGGAGGAGGAGGAGGCGGAGCGTACCAGGCGCTCCGCCTCCCTCCTCCTCCTCCTCCTCCTCCTCCTCCTCCTCCTCCTCCTCCTCCCCCTCGCCGCTTTGCTCGCGCCCAGCTTGAGCAAGTGCCACTCCGTGGAGGAGGAGGAGGAGGAGGAGGAGGAGGAGGAAGAGGAGGAGGAGGAAGGGGAGGAGGAGAAGAAGGAAAAGGAGGAGGAGGACGAGGAGGAGGAGGAAGAGAAAGAGGAGGATGGGTGGGCGCAGCTTCAAAGGAAGCCCTGACCGCCGTCGGCGCATGCGAAGACGACGGCCAGGGCCGCCAGAAGTTCGAGAGATCAGTCCCTCGCCGCCGCGCGCTCACGCGAGGCCGACCCGCCGAGGCGACGAGGGGGGGACCCCAGGACGGGGAAGCCCAGACAGGCATCCGACCCAGCCTGGACTACCGAGAAGGCAGTCCAGGCGGCCAGAAGCCACCCCCGCGGGGACGAAAGCGGGCACCACGTCAGCCGCCACCGGCCGCCCACCCCCGACGGGGATACGGGTTCGCACCCCGAGTGCGAGCCCGATCCCAGGCGGCGGCCCCCCAAAACCCACGCCAGGGGGCACCGCGCGCCAGAATTCCGAGGCGGACCCGCAGGGCCTACGGCCCTCGCTCGCCCGCGCGCGCGCCCGACGGCCGCACGGGCGGCGCCGAAGGCGCGTCCGCCACGTAAACACGGAAGAGGCTCTCGCCCTCCACGTAGAAGACCTCGGCGAAACGCGGAGAGGCGAGGTAAGCGGCGACGAGCTCGATGTCCAAACCGAGGCGCTCGAGCTCGCACACCACCACCCCCATGTGCACGCCTGCCACGGGATCCGAGGCCGCGAGCGTCTCTGCGAGGAAGTCCTCGACGTCGACCTCCGACGCCGCGCCGAGCTCGGCGATGGGCTCACCGACCCGATCGACGCTCATCTGGTCGCCGTCCGTCGGCAACACGGCCGCCACCGGAACGGTCACCTCGAGGTCGAAGCCCTCGCTGGTGGCCTCGGCCGACCCGCACTCCTCGAAGACGAGCTGGTCGCCAGGGCACTCGTCGACCTCCGACTCCTCGCCGGAGGAGAAGAAAACGGTGCCCGCGGCGCTGTCGCACTCCGATGGCGGCGCAGCCGCCTCCCGGTGGCAACCGCGCACTGGGCGCGCTCCGACCGGCACGCTCGAGAAAGCCACGGTCCCGCACGTGCATCGACAGCCCACGCCACGCGGGCCGCCAGCACCAGCGCGCGCATCGACACAGGGAGCCGCGGCAGGGGCGAAGGCCGCCGCGCCCGCGTCCAACTCGATGCACTGCTTCCCCGCCTCGAAGGCCAAGAAAGTCTCCAAGGGCGCCGCCCGCCACACGAGGCCGTGGGGGAGGCGACGGGGCAGCACACCGACAGCGCCCAGCAGCAGTTGCCGTACCGCTGGGATCGCCTTGACCTCCTGTTCCACGGTGTCGCCGACTGCACCGCCGAGGCGAGGCCCCTTCTGCGCACTCCGCCACTCCGCCAGTGGGACGGACTCGTCGGGACACTCGTCGGCATGCCACGCGACGTTCCGCTTCAAGCGGCGGGCGCCAGGTTCGCGAGTGCCACGAACCCTGGCCAGCAGGGCGGGCCTGGCGATGGCCTCGCGGCGCGCCACCTCGGCGAGATCGGCCGCGCAACCCACCGCACTGCCAGTGAGCTCCTGCTGCAACCTGAAGTTGACGGCCTTTGCGTCAGCGAGCTCGCGGACGAGCCTCGCGACCAACCAGTCCGCCGCCTGCCGAGCCGCGGCGGCGCCGCGTCGGCATCCCGTAGACATAGAACAAGATGGGTACTCCGAAGGTCACGTGCACCGCGCGCGGCAGCCCGGCGGCGGCACGACATGAGCGACGGCCCGACTTGAACAGCATGAGCCAAAATGGCTACGGAAAGAGAAACAGGAGGAGGTGGAGAAGGAGGAGGAGGAGGAGGAGGAGGAGAAAGAGGAGGAGGAGGAGGAGAGGAGGAGAAGGAGAAGGAGGAGGAGGAGAAGGCGGAGGAGGAAGAGAAAGAGAGGAGGAGAAGGAGGAGGAGAGAGAAGGAGGAGGAGGAGGGGGAGGAGGAGGAGGAGGAGGAGGAGGAGGAGGAGGAGGAGGAGGACGAGGAGGAGGGGGGGGAGGAGGACGAGGAGAAGGAGAAGGGGGAGAAGGACGAGGATGAAAAGGAGGAGGAGGAGGAGGAGGAGGAGGAGGAGGAGAAGGGAAGGGAGGAGAGAGAGAGGAGGGGACAAAAACACGAGGAGGAGGAGGATGAGGGGGAGGAGGAGGGGAAGAGGATGAGGGGAAGGGGGGCAGGAGGAGAAGCAGGAGGAGGAGGAGGATGGCGGGGGAAACGGAAGAGGAGGCGGAGCAGCAGCAGCGGCAAGAGGAGCGGGAGAGGGGTGCACAATTCCCGCCAAAGCCGCTGGGGAAGGGGTGCGCGCAGGCCTATCGAGACGCTGGGGAGCACGTCGTGGCAGGTCTCCACCAGGTGGTGCAGGGCCGCCCGGAGGTCCTGCGGACACGCAGGTGTGCGCCGACGCCCGCACGAGGAGACATGAGAACGACGGACGAGGATGGGGATCAGAGCACGAAGGCGAGGAGAATCCTGGGAGGTCTTTGTCCGACCGATGAATGGCAATTAAGCCTGATACACAAAGCCACTGAGCAAAATTGGGCCAGTCTATGCCCGGGGTTAACCTTGATATCACAGGATTGCGTAAGCCGGCTTTGCCGGGACTTGGCCATATCAAACGGAATTAATCCAAAGTGGGCCAGTTTCTTTCCAGGGATATGTCAGGACCGACTCGGAATGTAGGCTCCCAGCAGTTGCATCCTAGAGAACGGCTGCGCTGCGAGGAACATTGATGGACAATGGCAAGCACAGGAATACGGATGGATGGGGCTGATGAGCGCTGCTGCTGTGACTCCCGCGCGAGGAGAAGGATCACGATGCTCGGTGGCAACTCATGGGAGCCTCCCATACCAGATTGTCGGCTCCTGCTAATCGACGCTAGCCGACGCCAAATCGACGCCACTCGACGCTCACCGACGCTACATCGGCGCTATTTCATCCACTCCCAGACGCCAATATACGCTAGTCGACGCGAGGGACAGTATTGCCAGGCTCCTCCCATGATCGGCTACACAGACGACGGACGAGGACGAGAACAGGGGAAGGCGCTACACCACCACCAGCGCGAGGCGCCCAGGAGGAGCCTCCCGGCGGTGTGGGTTCCCCCCCCCCCCCGGCTGCAGTAACAGGCGGGTGCGCGGACGCCTGCCCGCGCCCGCGCGAGGACACGGAGAGCGCTGGAGGAGGATCACAGGCCTCGCCATCGCTCGGACGTCCACTCCCTGTGTTTTTGTTTCGGTTTCGCGCGTGGTTTTTTCGCCAGATGATCAAGGATGCTCCTCGATGGCCCTCGCCGAAGGAAACATGCACACGTCCGAGCGATGCCAGGAGGCGGCGAGCCTGGACAGATCCACGCCCTCGCGAAGCCTGCTTCTGGGGCGCGATGCCCCTGGACACGCGGGGCCGCGGTCCAGGCGGGGCCTCCGCGAGACCGTTCTCCGTGTCCACGGGGTCGCGGCCCCGGGGCCAGCCGGCGATCGCCGAGCACGTTTCACTGCTCGCACAGTGCCTACTCGCAAACAACAAATAAAACAAAAAACAAGTTTTTCTCTGTGTGAATCCCCCGTGGCGGATCCAGGCCATTTGCGAATAGTTGATTTGCGAGTAGTGGAACGCGCTTGTCCATGCGAGGGCGTGGGTACGGATGTCTGACGGAGATGGGTTCGGACGAAGTGGGGGTGTCGCGAAGGGGAGGTTAGCGACACAGCTCGCGCAGCTGGTCTCTCCCTCGCCTCCTGGCGCCGGAGGCGCCAATGTATCGAGGGAGGCTTCCCGGGGTGGGGCCGAAACGAGCTGCATGCAGCAAATATCGTAACAACCTCTGTCTTCGTCCCCCACCTTCGTTTGACCCGAGAGGAGGGAGGAGGCGGAGCGGGAGAAGGCGGAGGAGGGGGACCAGAGTAATCCCAAGATGCGCATGTGATGCGGCAGCACACTCTGTCGTCGTCCCAGGTTCCCTCTTCTTGAGTTCTGGAAGACAGGCCCTTCACAATGGAAACCTGTCCCTTGGAACAGGTCGGCGGTGCGTCGGCGCTGTCGGCGTGGAAAAAGACGTGCTCCACATCGAACCGCATCGCCGATGCATCGGCGATGTGGCGCGCTCCTCTGACAGACACCATCTACTCAGACCCCATCTGGGAGGCCGATGAGGGGAACGATGGGCCAAGAAGGGGAAGGGGGTCAGAAAAGGGGACTCTCGTTGGCGGTGGTCTCTGTCTCTCCCCTGGAGCACTGAACCACGCTACTTCCGTTGTCGATTGGGGGTGGGGCGGTCCTCCTTGCCGTCCTCTCGCCAGGCGACCCCCGGGAAGCCCGCCTCGGGCGCGGCTCGGCGGGGTGTGAAGCGTCAGCAGCCGAGGACCTCCACCTCTTCACTCCTCTTCACTTCTCTTCACTCCTCCTCCTCCTCCTTCATCCTCCTCCCTTTTTCACCCCTCCTCCTCCTCCTCCTCCTCTTCCTCCTCTTCCTCCTCCTCCTCCTCACCCACTCCTTCTCTCTCCTACTCACTCCTCCTCCTCCTCTCCTCCGCCTCATCATCATCCCTCCTCCTCCTCCTATCCTCCCCTTCCTCGTTCGCTCCTCTTCCTCTCTCTCTCCACCCTCCTCTCCACCTCTCCTCTCCTCCTCCCTCCTCCTTCCTCCTCTTCTCCACTCCTGCTCTCTTCCTCCTCCTCCTCCATCTCCTCCTTCTCCTCTCCTCCCCTCCTACTTCTCCACCTCCTCGAAACTCCTCCTCCGCCTCCTCCTATTCTGCCCCCTCCTCCTCCTCCTCCTCCTCCTCCTCCTTTCCCTAGTCCTCCCCCATCCATCGTTCATTCATAAGCATACCTCTTCCCTGTCGCACTTCGAGACGCGACAGGAGGGCGGTCTGAGTGTTTCGCCTGTGACAACCTCAGCATTTACAATCCCGAAGCTTTTCATGTGGTTCCCTTCGCCCCGCACGCATTCGTCTTAAACATTTGCAACCGCTTCACGAATGGAGGGCGGGCCGTTTTCAACATGTGGCTCTCGCCTTAGCACCGCACGCGCTCGTCTTAAACGACTGCAGCCGTTTCACATATGCGGGGCGGGTCGATCTCACACTGTGGCACTCGCCTTAGCGCCGCGTGCGTTCGCCTGAAAAACGGTTGGACCAGATTCGCGGATAAGACTGTGCTGTTTCAAAATTGGCTCTCGCCTCGCGCCGCGCTCATTCGTTGTCAAAATCTGCGGCAGCTTCAGGATTCGCTGGTAGAAGTCCACGGAATGGTGTTCTGGCAAGATTTAGGGTTGTCAGAACGCAATCGTCAAGTTGATTCGCAGTTTTGAGGTCCCAGGAGTGCTCTTTTGGCACGGTTTGAGACTGTCAGGACGCAAAAGTCACGTTGACTCGCGACGCAGAAATCCCAGGAATGCTGCGTTGGCTCGCTTGAAGATTATCATACGCTTATTCTTCAATGAGGTATATCCCGCAACGAAAATAAATTGTTGCAGGGCCCTATGAAAGCGGGAGCTTGGAGGGAGGATGTACTGCAACACCAAACATGCGTCTTAGGGTTGCACTGGTCCTACTCCTCCTCCTCCTCCTCACTCCTCGATCCTCACTCCTCCCCTTCACTCGGTTGTCTCCTCCTCCTCCTCGATACTCCTCTTTCCTCACTCCTCACACCTCCCCTTCACTCTTTCTCATCCTCCTCCTCCTCCTCCTCCTCCTCCTCCTCATCTGCACTCCTCGCGATCCTCCTGCCTTTCCTTCTCATCCTCTTCACTCCTCCTCCACCTCTCGCTCCACATCCTCTTCACTCCTCCTCCTCCTCCATCTCCTCTTGACTGCTCCTCCTCCTCCTCCTCCTCCTCCTCCTCGTCACTCCTCCTACTCCTCTATCCCTTGTCACTGTACGTCGATCTTCGTAGGCCAGGCAGGGCGTTTCGCTTGAGAACTGCCTCACGTCTGCCTGCCCCGAACCTGAAAACTCAAACGGCTACACAGGTGCAGGGCCAGTCGCTTCGAAACATGTCGGCCCTGGCCGCACCGCCGGCGCCTTCGTGCTAGGAGACTCGAGTAGCTACAGGAACGGACTGCCAGGAAGGATGCGATGCATAACAATAAAATGAAAAGGAGGAGTAATAATACTAATGATAATAGCAAGAGGAAGCATAGTAATAATAGGCATAAGAAGAATCATAATACGAATGAATAGAATAGGAATAATAATGCAGCGGGGAAACAATAACAAAGCAACGAAAAAAGAATAATAATAAGAAGAGTAAGAGGAATAACAATAGTAATACTCATAAGAATAATAATAACAAACATAAGAAGAATGAGACAATGCAGCGGAGAAAAAAAAACGACGCCGTGTCCAGCAGGCACGCGAGCCGTGCCCACTGCGCAGGCAGGCCAGGCGCCCGCACGCCCGCACGAACCGTGCGAGGGGGCAGCACAGGAGCCCGCGGCCTCCGAACAGGAGGCAGGGGGCGGAGGGGGCGCGAGGAGCAGGAGGCAAGAATCAGGACAGGGGGAGCAGGAGGGCGGAGCAGGGAGAGCAGGGGGAGCAGGACCCGAGGAGCAGGAGGGCGGAGCAGGAGCAGGACAGGGGGAGCGAGGAGCAGGAGGCAAGGATTTGGACGCCCGACATGGGCACGGAAAGCATGGGTAATGCGGGATGACGATGAATAGAAAAATGGGAGAGAACGATAAAAAAAAACATAGTCTCCTGCTTTTTTCTGCACAATCTTCTGACTGGAGGAGAACGGTTCACACAAATAGTTTTCCAGCCCGCGGCCGGTTCTTTCTAATCGTCGTCCCGGGCGCCGCCGCCTGAACACGACCCCCGGCCATTTTTCAATCGTTATCCTCCACTGAAATGCCCAACAACAAATGTTGTCCCGAACCAACAGCGGCCGCTGTTGGGCAGGTGACCTTTTGTCTCGAATGGACACAAGCCGCGGCGGCGTGGACAGCGAATCCGGTTCAAAATGAACAAGGACTGCTGTTGGTCTTTGTACCCATTCTTTCCGTACCCATGCCAGTCGTCCCGGAGAGAGGAGTGACGGATGGGGGTAGAGGAAGGGGCCCCAGGACACACATAAATAAGTACACACAGATAAAGATATCCCCTATTTTCCCATGTTTTCTGGGTCTCTGTCTTGCCCCCCACTTCCCATATTTTCCCATGTTTTCTGAGGAATCGAGGATTCAATGTGTCTGTGTTTTTCCCTTTCCTGAGTAGAAGGCTGGAGATCCACCCCGATGATAAGCACCCCGACAGCGCAAGCGTTTGGCAAACGCACCCGACGAAAGCATCGAACAAGAAGGCGCCGTTTAGCAAACGCACGGGGCCGTTTCGTGAACGCCGCTTATGGGGGTCGGGGTGGATTGGTCCTCGTTGAGGGGGGCAGTGGAGCTGCAGAGGGAGCTGGACGCGTCCAACGTGTGGCCTCTGGGGCTTTGGCACACCCCTGGACGGCTCGGAGGCGAGCCGGGGCCGGGATGTCACGCCGGGGTGCGGCAGCAGGCCCCGCCCCCACGAAGGTCGCGATGCGAGGCGGTGCTCTGCTTCACGGTCGGGCCGCATTGGCACGGAGTCGGAGCCGAATCAGTTCGCATCGGCTGCGCCGAGCCGCACAACACGGCGCCACGCGAGCAGCGGGCCGAACTGGATCGACAGAAGATCGGAATCGAATCGGGTCGGGCCTGCCGGAAAAACGACATCGAGGATCGAACTTTGGAATGGACCCTCGCGACTGCTTGACTGCATGATGGGGGACGCCGCGTCACTGCTTGACGGCTTGATGGGCCGCTTACAGGTTTAACACGAGAGCCCTGGACGGGCATCCCGAGCAATGATGCGACTGGCTCAAGAAATTCCTGGCCCCCCGAAGTCTCCCAGCGGCCCCCGGCCACTCGTGTTCGGCCGCTTGCCTGTGGCCGCGCGAGACAGCAAAAAAACCTGGAGGCCATGGACAGTGACAGCCACGGTGCCCGCACGACTGCCCGTACGAAGGAACCCACCTCGGGAGCGTCAAAGAGGGGGGCGTAAACCATGGCCCGAAACGCATGCGCGGCCCAGGGGGGCCCAAGCGACGTGCTGAAATAAAAAAGGGGCCATGAAATCTGGGGAGATGCCATGGCCCCAGCCATGATCTACCCCCCACCCACTCCTCATCCCCCTCTTGCCCGCCCCCGATAACCTGGAGGCCCTGAAGCGCACCATTATCATGACTTTCTTGTACACACGACGAACTGAACTTTTCTAGGCGCGGGCCCCCCCAAAGATCCCGACCCTTTCCCCGGGGGTGGCCTCTCGTCCCAGACCCGTTTTTGACTGTCCTGGGGCCGGGAAGTGGCCCCCAGAGGCCAAAAGCCATATAAAACAAGCAGGGTACATCATGTCGGTGGAGAGCTGGGCCCTTGCTTCTCACACCGCGGCCCTCGCGAGGGGGAGGGCGAGGAGTAGCACGGCGCGGAAGGGCGGGGCTCACGCCTGGGCGGGCGCCTGCGAGGCGTCCAGCGGCAGGTCTGGCTCCCCGCGCGCGCCCTCGGCGGAGATGGGAGTGGGGCCCGCGGGGCCCTCGCGTCGCCCCCATACGGTCGGGAACTCTTTGCAGAGCGTGTCGCGGCGGCGGCCCCGGCGACACGCTAGACCTTGCAAGTGGATAGCGTGTCGCCCCGCTCCGAAGGGCAGGAGGCCAGGAAAGACTCGGAACGTTGACTCCTGGGGACGGGGACGGGGATAATCGGACGCCTCTGAGGATCATCAGGGGGAGATTCTAAAATTCTGGGTTTGGGGGGATTGAAAATTTATCGTCCTGGCAACTCGCATGAACGGAGGTGTGGATGGGATGTTTTCGTCGGGGGGGCCTCGAGATCCTCTGGCCCTCCCTCCTCGGGACGGGATTGGGTAGTAGTAGAAGAAGTAGTAGTAGTAGTAGTAGTAGTAGTAGTAGTAGTAGTAGTGGTAGTAGTTCTAGTACATTTCGTAGTACGAGTAGTACTAGTAGTAATAGTAACAGGTAGTAGTAGTAGTAGCAGTAGTAGTTGTAGTAGTAGTCGTAGTCGTTGTGGTCGTATAAAAAATTAGATGTCGTTGGTGTTGCTAGTAAGCAAGGTAGTAGCAATTGTAGCTGTTGTTGTAGAAGTATGAGTATCTGTGATATCAGTAGTTGTAGTAGTAGTCGCAGTAGAACGAATAATATAAGTATCAGTGAACAAAAACAAAAGTAACAATAGTAGTAGTAATAGTATGACTAGTCGTGACCGTGGCCGTAATAGGAGTAGTCGTAATAGTAGTAATAGTAGTGGTAGTAGCAGAAGTAGCCGTAGTAGTAGTAGTAGTAGTAGTAGTAGTAGTAGTAGTAGTAGTAATAGTTAGAATAGTTGATATAATGAAGTAGTGCGAGTAATACTAATACTAGTGGGCGTGTTAGTAGAAATCGAAGTCTTAGTCGTAGGAGTGGAAGCCGTAGTAGAAGTAGTAGTAGCAGTGATAGGAATAGTACGAGTAGTGAGTTTAGTACTCGTAATTTGAATAAACATAGCAATAACGAGCATACGAGTAGTCGCGGTAGTAATAATATGCCTAGGGAAAATATCAGTTGGAATGGTCGTGGTGGTACTAGGAATAATATTGGTAGCAGTAGAATTTTCAGTGGCAGAATGCAGTAGTAGTAGCGACAGTCGTAGCCATTCAGAGTAAGTGTCGTAGAACCAGTCGTCGTAGTAATAGTAGTAGTCGTCGTCGTCGTGATACCAATAGTGCAAATACGGA